AAATAAAATACATACATTTATTATTAATAACTAAATAATAACTAATTATTAATAACTTAATAACAGTAATCATATTTTAACGAATCGGAAATAACTTCGATGCAAAATTCAAAAGCTTTTATATTATCACGAAAAGCATGAATAATTTAGTATTATGTCATTATATTTATTAACACTTCTGTGTTTTGTTAATTGCTCTCCATTCACAATATTGCAGTATTAATTATTATTTCATAACAATTTTCCCGCGTTTTTAGCGCGACTCTATGTAAAGATCAACGAACCTTTGTCATAATCTAATATTTCATATTTCTTTCATCTTGGCAATACAAACACATACGGAACTTGCGACTCATAAACGAAAAGCTATTTCCGATTTGATTTCGACTAGAACTAATAAAAATATGATGGGCACTCACAGTAGTAGGACTCACCGGCGGGTGTACAACCGGGATAGCCGATGGTAGAGTGTAATGCATCTATTGACGGCATACTAAGCGCACTCATATAGGGTGCCGTCTTGAGGGCGCCGTAGGGCCCCGCGGCGGACGCCCCGAACGCCGCGGGCCCGAAGAGCTCGGAGGCCGAGGTGGTGGAGGCGGCGAGGCCCCCGAGATCGGTGGCGCCGGCGCCCCCGCTGCAGCCGGAAGTACCTCCGAGGCTGTTCGGCCACATCACCACCCCCTCGGCCCCCAGCACGACCACCCCTCCGCCGCGGTCTCCCTAAAGAGACGTCCTCGACGTCCAAATTATATGCTTTGCCTGAAAAAGACGACGCAAATAGAATCGGTGTTGCACAAAATGTATTAAATCGGCTAATCAACGATTTATTTTATTCAAAGTGAAATGTATCCATTTCACACACATGTAATTGGCTTATCCTGTAAAAATGGAATAATAAAATTCAAACCGCAACTTATGAAAAATATATGTGATATAAAAAATTAATATATCTATATATATAAATGATTAAAAAATATCAATTTGTAAGATTTGTGCACATACGTGGAATAATCATATTTTTGTTTAAAAAAAGTAGCTAACAGCATTTGCGAAAAAGTCTTCAGTAATTTCATTATTTTTTTGTTACAGAAAAGTAGACAAGGATTCAAGTTTGAACATCGTGCACCTTTGAAGTCTCTTTGCAAAATTGACTAAAATCCTGTGTTTGTCTCTGCCGTTTTCGAGTAAATCGTTTCACTGATCGTCAAAGAGAAAATAGTCGGTGCTTTAAAGAAATAAGCAATCGATCGTGATCACCCGGTATGAAAATAAGAACGACGCGGTCGGCAGCTGCGCGCGAGGGATAATCCGAGGAAGATGCAACAGGACTCCGAGTATATTCTCGACCCTCCTTCTCAAGGAGGCCAATCTAACTCCGAAAACGTCGGCCCGAAAACCGAGAACGGCGAACGTACCCGACCCTGAAGACATGCAACACGCTCGTAGCCTTTCCGTCGCGTTCTTAGCCGCTTAAGTCGCGCGTTTTATCCTCTCCGGTTACAAAGTCAGAAACGGCTATCGCTCTCTCCCTCCCGGCTTCTTACACCATCACGGGCAATCCAGCTTCCCCGGTGGTAGTGACTTGTTAATTTGTTTGCCGTCACGTTTATTACAACTGCGTTCTACGCCGTGCACATCTGCGATATGGCCGAACAGCGATGAAACGCGTATTGTTTCCTGCCTGCCGGATGTCGCCGTCCACATGTCTCGGATTAAGGGATGCTAATCGGTAAGTAATTAACATCCGCATTATAAAAAACAATCGGATGACGACAGAGTCGCGAGCGTCATGACGTGAGTGTGTCCCCGAGTTAATCGTTTTTATTGAATACAAGATGTAGAACACGTGGCCGGTTTAAAATTTTTCATTATTTTGTGCCGCATCGCTAATGGATATATTCTATCGTTGCTTATCATTATTCGTGTTTAATATGATTGGATAAAAAATCGTTATTAATACGAATTAGATTCAATTTTTATAGCGCTGACTTTTATACATACAATGTATGACACAATCCAGGCGGTTTCCATTAAACCGAAATAAATTAAAGTTAGAATTTTTAATACTTTAATTACAGTCTTATATCCATGCGAAAAAATTTTTAACTATTATACTCGTGTATCCAACAAAAAGAAATGGATGGTTGATTCGAGATGTGTTTTCAAAATGAAATCTTACACCAGCAAGCCCGTCTTTAATAATGTATTGTTCCGTGTCCTCTCTTAACTGCGCTATATTACTAGATTTCAATGAATAGACGTGTCATATGCGAAAGACCTCTCCAGAGTACTAATAGAGCTGCCGCAGCACGAGTCTTTTTGCACAAATATAGACGAAACACTCACATCCACCCTCGTGACGTATGTACGTTGCATCCTGTTGCGTTCGCAATTGAAATTTATTCTATCCGACTCTACTATTGAAATTTGTTATGCACTGCAATTTAAATACCAAGCGCGTAATATGTACATAAGTGGCTTTATGACATATCGAATCGACATACTCTGACGATATAAATATATTCACGGTTACTCGTAAATAAATATTAGGAGTTTACGAAGTAAAAAATATTTTAATTTCACAAATGAAAAAAAAATTATCATTATGTAGAAGATTAAAATTATTTACTTTCCGTTTAACAGCTTAAAATGAAAAAGTAAAGTTTTATATATTATAAAATAACGCTTCTTTTTCTGGAATATATAGAGCGCTTCATAGATGAGATCGCGCTTGATGAAATTATGTGTACTTAATATCGTAGATGTAAAAGGCGAGCTTACACTGGTGTATTGCGTTCTAATATTACGTCTCATTACGCGCACAAGTTTTCTCCGATCTCCGGAACCGGAATGAAGTTGCCACGCGGTGAAAAAGAATCCATAAAGTATACACTACCCCGTAACGCCGCCTTTCGTCTCCCGACTATATTAAAATTTCGCCCGCTATGAAAGGGAGGGCGAAGAGAACGAAGAAAGGCTGGCTATTCTCCCGGGTCCTCCTGAGATCAGTCAGGCGCGAATTTCCACTTTTGTACACTTACGCGCCTCGCGCCGGCCACAAAGCACTTGTTACATGCCACCCAGCATGGGCAAAAAACGCTGAAAACAACTGTCACTTTTGAAAACTTTTTAACAACGACTGCACGCACGACGTGAGCTGTTTCTTTTTATCTCAACACAATACAGATTTCCTTTTGTTAACATCATCGAATTGTTGATAAATTTACCGTTGTACAGAAACACAAAAAGTTTAAATATATATTTATATTTATATTATTAAATTTAATACAATCATATTGATTCGAAAATTCTAATTAATCGTCGAAAATAAAAGGAATACGGCACGTTTATTTACACTTTCGTCATATTAAAACCGCGTCGCGAGAGAAAGACAGGGAAAGAAACAGAATGCGAAGAAGAGGGCGAGAACGGATACTCGATGGTCCTCTTGTTGCGGTAGCCAGAAGTCTCTTTATCTTTGTGCACTTTGGCGAACGGGACAATGCACTTGTTACAGACCGCCAAGTGTGGACAAAATGCCCAGGCCGCCACTCGATTGGCCCTCGAGGACACTCGAGTAGTCTACGACTCTGTGGAGAGGTCGGGAGAAACGGTAGGACTAGAGAAAGATAGCTAGGGTGCCTTTTACACCCCCGCGCATTCCCCCGACGCCCTTTCCCGACGAATCGATCTCCCGCTGCAACGAGTCACCCCCACCCTCGCCCCCTTCGACAGTTCGGCCCTAGTGCAAACACTTTGCGTTACCAATCGACAGATATATACCGGCATGCCGTCCCTAATGACTGTTAAATCCCCATTATTACGTTCCGCGTGTGTTCTACACGAGAGAGAGAAAGATAGAGAGAGATGGAGGTTTACCCTCTCGTTGCTGAAGAATTCGATTTACGAACGTCCAGCAGATCGTATCCGTGCGGATCAGATAAGTCAACGGGGCGCACGTGCAGCGGATACGCGTTTTACTGTTGCATCTTGAATCCGCGGCAAATTCCTGCAGTGACAGATCCGAGAGTTGTTTCAGATGCTGTCAACACGCCGCGATTTATTAATTCTATATGACTGTAATTTTTTTAATAATTTGAGAATTGTTTCCTGATTCTGTCAATATTCGCCGCGATGTGTCGTTTCTGCATGATAAAAATTTTTTTTACATACATTTATAAATGTAAATAAACGACGTGTTTGTTGTTCGGTTTCATCAAAACGTTGAGTCGAAACTTCTTAGCGATTCGCGATTTTTCAATTTGCGCAGTAATAATTCGCGGGAAAATTGTTATAAAGAGAGAAACTCGCGCGTGGATGCGATCGCGACAAGACGCATACATCGAGAACAAGTCGCAGCATCCGGGATTCATCCGCGGGGGATGCAACGTCGTTTCTGCATTAGGTAGCGCGGTTTGCGGCTTCGGTACATCCGGCGGTACACGAAGAACGACACACTGCCGGAGCTATCCCAGAAAGTTAAGTCGCGGCCGCATTGTTTCCAGGAGTATTTGCACACAACCGCATTGTTCCTGAAGAGCCCGTTCCGTAGCTCCACAATGAACGTATACGTACGTATATGCTGCGTGAAGCGCAGTCGTCCGCGAGTATCGCGAGGAAAGCCAGAAAGTACTTGTGAAACGAGCGAGGCATTAACTCATTTTATGGACGATTTTCGAGATTGTGCCAGTGCACGAATACTTATTCATTCAAATATACGCATACGTGCTTCCATCGCGATAATTTTTTAATAATCTTGACGCGTCAAGTACAAGGTTTCTCCTCACTGATGATTTAATATTCTTAATTATAGCGATAGAATATACTTGGTAATAAAATTTATATTTTTGATGCGCAAAGATATACCATAACAGCAGAATGATTACGATTTACCTTATGGTAGTGGAAATATTTATAATACTTGGTTTGCTCAATGCACAAAGGACACAAGAAACTTTTTCTCATTATTGGATAATAAAGTCATAATTAATTTAATTACCTAACGCTAACGACACTCGCGGCTATACGTCGAGTTTGGTTCACGTCGGGTGCAGCGTCTCGCGAAATAATTACCTCGGCATCAAGCTTAAACTTTTTCACAGAAAGGCGGCTTTATGTCGTAGAGTCGGGCACACACACACACACACACACACACACACATATACACACATTTTATATGTACCCCGGATTGTAGTAGGATACCTCTGTCAAGGAGCCGCGTGCACCAGCGTAGCCATGCGCACGGAGTCGTGCACGAGGAAGCGTTTCTACGAAGCAGAGTCGCATTGAATGCAATCTTAGCCCCGGGTATTCGGGCGTTTGTTGCGCGTTCATTGAGCGTAAAACTTAATTCCCGTAGAAATTCCACGAGGTATACACGGGGTATACCTCCGCCCCGGGCTTGTTCTCCGCTAGTTAGTCTTTATACCCGGCCGGCAAAAAAGGAGATGCCAATGGGGGTTGCGCCCCGCCGCCCGACGGGGATGAGCCTCCTTCGTTTCGTTGTCTCTCTCCTCCCCCCCCCTCGCCTCCACCTGCCTCCATTCCGCTTCGTGCTCCTTTATGTTCCGCCCTGACGGACGGTGGAACTTACTGATTCCTCGGAGCCAATTTCGAGAAGGTTTTGTTCCCTCGAGCCGTTCACGGTTCTATGGTGGCCACGTCAATCCTCCCGTCGAAGGTACGGCGCGACATTGGGACCCGTTCGCACGTGATAACATCGACCAGGGATTCCGAGAGACTTGATACTTCGAGATGCCGGGACCGAGATTGAATCCGTGGCAGCAAATCAAGAACGAGGACTATGGCGTCTTTAAAATCTTCGTTTAAAAGGGCGGGGTCTTTTATATAATCGATACAATAGTCGATATTCCGATTTATATGTGTTTAAATTACAAGTTTAAAATTAAAGTTAAAGTTAAAATAAATGCGTGACATTTTTGTAATAAAATTCATCATTTGATCGCACTATATTTCCACGATTAGATTTTATTGACGTGAAAAGAAAAAATTATTTTTTTACATAAAAGATGAACTTTGCATGCAGACTATCCATCGTGGAAGCCCTCGAAACACTAGTCAACTATGTTGTTCGGCTTCGGCATATTTTTCAGCATTGAAGTATCGTATAATTGAAAAGCGTATCGGAATCTACACATTATTACTTTTCAAAGTTATTTTTAATTGTAAAGTGCACCGGCGCGTAAGATAATAATATGTAAATCCAATCTTTTTATATTTTACTTGTAAGAATATTTTTATCAGAAAGCCGGTAGTAAATTATCGACTTTGCCAATTATTCAAAGATTTTTTCGCCGATCCTATATAGAATTAACTTTACTCGAAATAATATATCATTTACGATGCACTTCAATTCGCCACGTTCTTCTTGATGCGCTTTTGAATGTCGTTCACTTTATATTTATCGCGATATCTTCACATCCGCTTCGTCTCAATTCGGTACGTATAATGTACGGATCTTTACATACATGACGATCGAGCTACTTTGCGCCCATCGAACAGTCAGCGCCGCATTTTCAAACTTCCAGATAGCTGCGTATCCAAAGGGCAATATTATATTATAAAGGCGATAAATCGTCTTTTTAAAACCTACAATGTATTAGAGACGACAAACGAATAAGATTCTTTCTTAACGATGACCCAATCATTCTTGCAATATTCTCTATCGCGTTTAAAATTCTCATAAATTATCTTTCACCCTAATTATAAACTAGATCGGCGTAGAAATGAGAATTTTTTTAAAACAATATCGAATCCTTCTTCGATCTCATCGATCATTCGCATCTTAAAAACCGGTAATATAATCATCATCATACATCGCCTCACGTTTTTTTACAATAATGTGCACGAAGGTCTTCCGCGATGCGAAAGTCATAGTCACCACTCTTTGTTCTCCACTGAAAAACACGCGCTGCGTTTCGTTCTCAGAATCGATCGGACGCGCTCGCGACAAAATTCCCATTAGATTCGAAGATCAGCAAGCGACTAGGATCGTCTTCCGTTGCCGTGGAGGACGCGCTACAGCGGATGTAGACGACGACGACGGCGACAAGGAGACGAAGGACCTCCTCGTGGAAGGCGGACCTTAACCGGGAGGGAGGCGGCGGCGGCAAGCCAAGAAGATTACCGTAAGCAGATTATTTCCGTGGAAATCCTGCTGGCCAACTCTCTCGGCACGCTACCACGCTGTAGCGCGTTTCGGGACCGAAACTTCCCGCGGAATTGCAGGCGCGAACGGAAATAGTCGAAGCTCGGCGCAGCGCGCTACAAGATCTGCTCTGACAGCAGCCGTCGGACGTCGTAGATAAGATTATTGAAGGATCAGGCGCATCGTATAACGTAAAATAGATTCTGACGAGCGCCGTCGCGTAGCTTCGGAAAATCAGCGCGACAGCTGCTTCGGAATTGCTTCTCTATATGAAACGCGTATGTTAATACGAAAAATGTCAATATTCTCTCTTTCC